CCTGTGTGTGTGAGAGTAGAACTGTGCCCACAGGGTTTTTCTAGTGGCTATTACCCTTCAGAAGCAGATCACCAGGCTTTTCTTCTGAGGCACTTCTGGGTGAATTCCAACCACACAATCTTTTGATTAGCAGTCTAGCAAAATGTACCATCACGGATTCCTGCGATCCTTTCTGGGAATCCCTGTTGATCCTGTCCCCATTTGACTAAGCAATCCCCCACATACTGGCAGGAGCCCCCCCAAAACAACAATAGTTCTTACGTACCCTCATCTCCCCATGGAGCTGTGTTCTCCAGACCTACACCACATTGTACAGAACAAGTACTCACCTCTTCCCGATGTCTCCCTTCGCGGCAAGACGGGGTGTCATCCACCACTTCCACTATGGTTCTCTCTGGGGGTCCTCCAAGGGGTGGGGGCTCGTGGAAATCCAACGCTGCATGAACACTGCGCTCGCCCACGCCACCTGCATGAACCTACAAAGTAGACATCCTTGGTGAGTCCAAAGCGAGCACATCCCCTCCTGATTCCTACTCAGCACCGACCCCATGTAACACAGCAGAAATACCCCATCGGATCTTCATGGTGGCACAGAGCGTTCAGTGTTAGGTAAAAAGGTGGGTGGTTTGAAAACCCCATCGGGCAACAATCAACAGTTAACAGTGAAATACTTATTAACTAGGCCACCAGGGGTCGCCCTCGGTCCACACAAACAAAAGGTATTTCATTTCTCACAGTGAAGTTGGAGAGAAGGGAAATTCTTTGGGTTTGCCGTGTTTTTCTGGGTCTTGAAAGGTTTCTGCCTTTGACAGGTTGCAGCCTTACCATTTTCCTATCGCTTGAGTGAGAAATACTTGCAGTTTTCTTCTTTGAACGGTTTCCAACTGTATGCAAGGTTCAAGGTCTTGAAGGTTTTACTGTTAAAAGTTACAGGGTGAACTCTACTCAATGTGTCCCTGATCCAAGCCATGGTATTTTCAATAGCCTCATATGCATGTGAAAGGAGCTCTGGTAGTGTAGTGGTTACAAATCAGGCTGGTAAACTCAAGGTCGGCAGTTCAAAACTACCAGCCGCTCTGCGGGAGGAAACGAGACTTTCTGCTCCCGTAAAGATTTAAAGTCTTGGAAAACCTGTGCAGGGTCACTATAAGTTGGAACCAACTCCACAATATTTAACAACAACAACAACATATGCATGTGAAAGCTGGGCAGTGAATAAGGAAGACTGTAGAAGAATGGATGCTTTTGAGTTATGGTGTTGGAGGAGAATATTGAAAGTGCCATGGGCTGCCAAAAGAACCAACAGATCTGTGTTGGGAAAAGTGCAGCCAGAGTGCTCCTTGGAGGCTAAGATGGCCAAACTTCGTCTCTCATACTTCAGACATATTGTCAGGAAGGGACCAGTCACTGGAGAAGGATATCATGTTTGGTAAGGTGCAGGGTCAGAGAAATAGAGGAAGATGCCCAGTGAGATGGATTGGCCAAGTGGCAGCATAGATGGGTTCATGCGTGGCAATAATTGTGAGGTTGACCCAGGACTGAGCAGTTTCATTCTGTTATTAGGTCGCTATGGGTCGGTACCAACTCAATGACACCTAACGACAACAATTAAAACAACAACTAATAAAAGTCTCAAGTTACATATTTGCTGACCCTTGAATATGATGTGTGCCAAGAATTACACCTAGTGGTTGAAACGGACAAAGAATCAAGAATGTACTGAGTACTGTCGGATAATGAACCAGACCTCAAGGCCGGTTTAAACCACTAGGTCGGTGTTTCAAACTCACCAGCCGCTCCTTGGAAAACCCTATACAGAGTAGCTATGAGGTGGAACCCACACTACAGCGTTTAACAAAAACCACAATGTAACAATCCTACTGAGGGCAGGGACTATAGTGCATTAGGAGTTGGATTTAAATCTACCAGCTGCTGTGTGGGAGAAAGATGAGGGTTTCTGTTTCCGTAAAGATTTACAGCCTCGGAACCCCCATTCAGGGGTCATCGAGAGTTGGGGAAGGACTCCAAAGCAAATCACCACCATCACCAATGTAAGAGTCTTGGTGTGGTACTGTACATCCACACTGGACCGCAAGGTCGGCAGTTCAAATCCACCAGCTGCACCTCTGAAACCTTATACAGGGTCGCTGTGAGTTGGAACTGACTTAACGGCACTTAACGACAACAACGTAAGGGACAGAAGGAGCGTTGAGCTCCTAACCGAGATGTTGGTGGTTTGAGCCCACCAGCCGCTCCTTGGGAGCAAGATGAGGCTGCCGGTTCCTGTAGGATTTGCAGTCTCAGAACCGTATAGGGCAGCTGGACTGTGTCCCTCAGGGCTGCTAGGGTTGGAGTTGGAGCCGTCTGGATGGTGGTGGTTTTATCCACACTTCATGGGCGGCCGACACTTTAGTAGGTTTGCAGGTGTTGATGGGTATAACCGAATAAACAAAGTCAAGTGAGTGCGAATCACAGGTTCAAAAACCCACTTCAGCAAAGTCCTCCAGCTGCTCCTGCAAATATAGCCTTGAGTGGAAAAGGTTTACTCCAACAAAACAGTAATCAGCGACTTTGCCCTGGACACTGAGTGGTTCTGGGACGAGGATGGTCCATTTGAGAAACCAATGTTTCTATCAGCTTTAGCTCAGCAGATTTCACGGTTCCAGACATGCTCTCTCTCTCTCTGTTTCCATCTCTCGCCCACCGCGGCTCTCCACTTTCCATCGACGTGAAATAGAGAATTCGCAAAGACAAGAGATAGAATTTTATCCTCCTGACTTTAGTTCCGACTCACAGGGACCCTGTGGGACAGAGGACAGCTGGCCCAATGGGTTTCCGAAGCTGAAATCTTTATGTTGTAATGACACTGTGTTTAAATCTCAGAGTTTATGAGATGACAAGTCCAAATTCAGGGCACAGGCCTGGGGGAACGCCCTCTCTCTCTCTGGGGGAAGGCTCTCTCTCTCTCTGTGCAAAAGGCTCTTTCTCTCTCTGGGGGAGGGATCTCTCTCTCTCTGGAGGAAGGCTCTCTCTCTCTTCTCTCTCTCTGTGTGAAAGGCTCTCTCTCTGGGGGAAGGCTCTCTCTCTCTCTGTGCAAAAGGCTCTTTCTCTCTCTGGGGGAGGGATCTCTCTCTCTCTGGAGGAAGGCTCTCTCTCTCTTCTCTCTCTCTGTGTGAAAGGCTCTCTCTCTGGGGGAAGGCTCTCTTTGTCTCTCTGGGGACTCTGTAGAAGGTCCATATTTCTTCCAGCTTCTGTTCCTGGGTTTCTTGGTGACATCCACAAGGCATCTCTCCCCCTGTCTCTGATTCTGTGTCTACCCTGTTCTTTTATTTCTCAGAAATGATCATGTTTAGGACCCACCCTATAGGAAAATGGTCTCATATGCATGACAAAGTAAACAAATCCTATTTCTTACATCCACAATTACAAAACCCAAACCCACTGCCATCTTGGCCATGTGACTCAGAGTGACTCGAATGCTGCTGTACCTGTTATTAGCTGTGACATCGGTTTGGACTCATAACAAGCCAGTAGAGGGTTTCTAAGGAGCGGCTGGTGGGATTGAACCTCCAACCTTCTGGTTAGCATCCCATTGCTTATGCTACAGCGTCATACCAGGACTGAGTGAAACGGCCCCACAGGGCTTCTAACATTGTAGTCTTCACAGAAGCAGCAGAAAGCCTCATCTTTCTCCCACGGAACAGCTGTTGTTTCGAACCTTAAAGTTTGCAGCCCGAATCACAATCACTATACAATATACATTATACATTAGGTGTTGGTAAAGGGGGTCCCCGGGCAGTATAAATGGTGAACACATCCGGTTGTGAACTGGGGACTTTGGAGGTTTGCATCCACTCAGAGATGCCTCAGAGGAGAGGTTTGACAATCGTCTGCCCAAAATATCAGCAGTTGGAAAATCCTGTGGGCACAGTTCTACTCTGACACACTCGGGGCACCATGAGTGG